TGCGTGTAAATCTTCTACTAGATAAGGTACTCGAATTGCAAGAGGGCTGGGGGAATTCTATTTGACCCTGTGGCCTTATGCAAATCCAACAGCTTGATCTCACGTTCGACTTCTGCGCGTTCGGGCGTATGCAAGGAGACGGCTTAGGGAGAACTGCGCTCAATGCCTGATGAAGAAAGCGATAACTCAGGTTGGTTAAATTGTCTTGCAAAGTATTCAGCCCAACGCTTCAAGCGTTTTGACAAGCCGTGTATTCTAAATAAGACAACAAGAAGACTGGTATTGCGAGATGGTACCATTTCGTGTTATCTGTTCACTCGCAAACTAACAACAGATAGATGAATCACGTGACAGAAAACATCGAAGATTTGAAATTGGTCACAAGGGAAAAATTACGTAGACACAACAATGACAGATTAGCATCCGGATCTTAGGGTCATGAGCCCCAAGGAAGCTTCAGGGAGACTGTTAATTGTTTTTGTACGCATAGGATAGGGCGATGCCGGTTAAGTGCCACCGCTTCAGCAAACCTCAACACTTTGAGGTTGTCATTACGATAGATAACTGTAAATGTTGACCTGGGGTCAACCTGGTGACCTGATTCGAGTAGATGTCTGGCGATTGATGAGGCCGGCAGCTTAGATACCTTTTCTCGTTCGCCTGCTTGTTGTGTCGATAGTTTGGCAATCCATTTTGGGATATGATCTCCAATGCGCTTACCCAAGGATCGATCTGTTCTGCCAATGTAACTACTACCGCAGTTACAAACGAATTGGTAAATGCAATGGGTTGTGGCGGAGATCGGTTGAGTAGGCTTCACTGGAGGCATAGGTAACTTCCTGGTCTCCCAAATGGGGCAGAATTTGGCTGCGTTGAATGTCCGCCGAATCGCTGTATGCACACGACTTTCGAGTTGGGCGGCAACGATATCACCTTTGGAAGGTAATTGAAGGTAGGCAGACAATTTGGGCACAGTAAGTACCCTCGGCCTATTTTCCTTCAGTTGACTGTGGAATCTAATAAACGCTTTTGGATATCCGTTGGCTCGTAGCGTCTGTGTGATAAACAGCAATTCCGATTCCAAACAGTCGTCAGTACATATTCTGCGGGCTAGATTAAACAGCGTCTTGACTAAGCTCCGCTTGTATTGTATAGGGGCGAAGCTGTTGAAGTGTTCATACAATCCTGTCCATATAACTTTCCTGTGAACAGAACGCTTAATGGAGCCGTCTTCTCGTCTGGTCAACAACACATCCAAAAACGGAAGGCAATTGTTATCCTCCAGTTCGCAGGTAAAACGGGCGTTTGGATGTGTGTTATCAAGCACGTTGAGAAAAGATAGAACAGCGTCTCCACTTGGGGCGATCACTAATGTGTCATCTACGTATCGCTTGTACAAACACATTTGCTTGATGTGCTGCTCACATCTCATTTCAACCATCGTCATGAAGATGTCAGCCAATACCGGACCTAGCGGACTTCCCATAGCTACACCATCCACCTGTCGATACGGTTTGTCTTCAAATAAGAAATGCACATTTTCAGTGCATAGTAGCAGCAAATCCCTAAGATATTCCACGGGAATCGGTAACACTACTTTATTACTCATTATAAACTCACATAAGAAATCCACCGTTTCTCTTAATGGGATGTTAGTGAACAAAGATTGTACTTCCATTGAACACATTACCTTGTCAGCGATATTCATGTGTTGCACACAGTCGATCAGGTCTAATGTATCCTTCACTGTATACTTTGTCATCATTCGTCTCACCGGTGTAAGTAGATCAACTAGCCAACGTGCCAACTTGTGGTATGGTGAATTACACATGGATAGTACAGGTCTTAAAGGTGTGTTGGCCTTGTGGATCTTCGGTAAGCCATACATTTGTGGGATGCGTTTCCCCCTTGGTTTGAGAGAGTTGTACATCGCTTCTGTTAGCATTCCATGTTGCAGCAACAATTTTAGTTGATTAGTCACCCTCTTTTCGATTTGTGTTACAGTGGTTTTGCTTTGGTCTTCTTGAAATTTTGATTCATCTCCTAAGATCTCATACATCTTGTTTTTGTAGTCAAGCTTATTCATAATTACAACCCCTGTGCCTCTGTCAGGTTTTAGCACCAACATATCTCTTGCCTTCAGATCACGTAAGGCTTTGATGTGACTTTTATCTATACAGCAGGTTTGGTGTATCGGGGCCACCATGTAACCGTTTGCAATATCAATGAGCTTAACCTTGAGCCAGTTGGGCTGTTCCTTAGTCGTCGGGGTCAATTTAGATAGCTGGTCCAGTAGGTTTTCAAACTGAGTCTCACAGTGTATTCGGTCGACATTCTTTGGGGGAATCTTAAAATTCACGCCCAATGACTGTGTATTGGCTGCCCACTCTCGTTGCGTATGGTCTCGCTAACACCAGATCTCCTGCTGTCTGTTTCCCGTATCAGACGGAATAACTTACCATGATTTCCAACGGTAGCGGCTGTTTCCATTTCCGAGATACGATGAGACCAGTAGGCTTCTCAGTCTTTCTTCAGGCTAGCACATAGTTTTGCCCTGCGATTTTTGCGAGCCTCTTTGTATTTGCTTCCAGCCGGTATACGTCGGCGAGCATCCATAAGTTCCAGAGACTGTGTAGAGACCCAATGTCCAGTTTAACAATATGATTCGCTACATGGAGACATGCCTGCTGATAGTAACGTTTGACGAATATGCGACTAGTGATCTTCGACCGTGTTCAGTGGGCGCTTACTCAGCCCGGATGTCAGCGCACTTTGAGGCACATTCAGAAGACCTGGTTTGGCCAGTTGGCTAGTGTCAATCCGTTCACATCGACGTTGCGGAAGTCCACTAAAACGCACCCGGAGGTCGGCGCAGACAAGTGCGTGGTCAGCGTCCACGCTCGTGCTCCAAATCGAGAGACGGTTTCGGACACAGCCTCCCCAGCGGTAACTGATGGCAATATGATCGATTTGCGTCCATGGCTGGCCCGAGGATGGTGGCCGCCAAGTCACAGTTCTGTGGGTTCTGTGTCGCAACTTTGTGCTCGCGAGAAAGAGACGAGCATCTTCACACAGCAGTAGCAATCGCTCACCGTCATCACTACGGGAGTCTTCACTATGTTGGCCGCCCAGAAGAAGATCATCAGTGGACAATTTGCAGACTTGGGCGTTTACATCGCCAGCCAACATCGCAGTATCCGTGCTTGTTCTGTAACAAAGGAGCTCGTGAAGTTGCTGATAGAAATCATCTTTCACCGAATCAGTGCTACGGTGTGAAGGGGCGTAGGCCGCAATGACAAACAGGAACCGTTTGTTCTCGCCCGACTTCGTGGCATGGAACGAACCAGCTAATCTAACGGCGCACCTCCTGCTGTTTACTGGGATCCAATCGATCAGGGCAGCTTCAACCCCGGCACTCAACACAATGTCGACGCCAGCTTGACCGGCATTTGAAGCTGCATCATCGCCAGACAGGCGCAATGAGAATGTGCTGCCAGTGTCGCATGTGGGGGATCGCAGAGTAAGCACAGAGCTAGAATCTTGCAGGCGGGTTTCTGACGAACAGCAAATATCGATCGATAAGATCACTAGTGTGCGGGCAAGTGCTGCCTGTTGACCAAGCTGTAGCAAAGTGCGCACGTTGATGCATGCCAGTTTTAGCGAGACGCGAGGACTCCAAATGGAAATCGATGAACTGAGGTTGTCCGTTTGGTTGAACATGGACTTGTCGATTGGATTGGAACCATGCCGTGTGACTGTGTGTGATTTGAAACTAGAAGACAAGCGATTATTGAAGCACGATGGAGGAGGGCCAATGATTGGTGGATTGAAATTGGGGGGGGGATGGAAGTAAAATTGGATCGGGACGAGAAGGATGAAAAAGAGCAATGAGTGGGATAAGAAGACGGGAAGGCCTGATCAGTAGCATTCAAACTCCTATCCAACCTGCACCATTGATTATCCTCTGCGACGGCCAAAGCATCAAGAAATTGTTGGGAGAAAGGTTCATTGTATTGCGTGGGCAGGATACTGTCAGGTTGCCCAGGCCTAGACAGGAGAACAATTAGGGTTCTCATGCAAAGCCTTTGGTTCAACAACCTTACCGCAAGACAGCGGGTTTTGGCACTGGACTACAGAGAGCCCGTTTTATGAAATAAGGAGCCACCCTCATTCCAACCCCTAACCTGGAGGGCCAGGAGATTGAGTTTTTCAAACTTCTAAACATTGACAAATCTGGTAGGAGTGGCTCTGAAGATGCAAAAAAGCACCACTAAACATAGCTCAATGGATCACTAAGACATACAAACCATCGTACGACGTTAGGGTCCAGTTTCATCGGGATGGAGTATGATATTGTACAATATGGCAAAAAGTATCCTAATGAAGAAGCTAATGGTAAGGCAGCTATAAATGATTTTGCTCCACGGACGTATCTCCATACCACGTTTTGGGCAATGGATACTGACCGGTGCAAATTGAGTGGCACACCCGTGTTGCACAAAACGTATAGCCCACTAAGCTCGATTATATGCATGAATAACTTGTCCTGACCCACATTTGCTCAATGGTTATTAAAACTCTTGTAACCCAACGCAAGCCCCCACCCACGCACTGTATAGTAGCCTCATTTTAATTGTGGTGTTGGAACTGACAACACTGGATGCGAGGCTCGTGTACTCAAAAGATATGATCTTTCTTTTTACGAATGTAACCGCCACACACTTCCGAGGACTCAAAGGTCGCATGGGTAAAAATGATACGCGTAAATACAAACTGTAAGACAATTTCGGAAAATGCAGCACGGTGAAATGCGCTATAGAATTCAAAAAGAACTAGGTAAAATTAATTCCAGTTTTCGGGCCATTCGTTGGATTTCACTGTTGGAACGAAATCTCTGAGGAGAGTGTAATTAGAAATTTTTCACACGGTTCACCTGTTGCCAAACAGCAGATGTACGTGGGAGAAAATGGAGGAAAATGCAGTTAGAATGAACAACTCACATTCTTTGTCGATAGTTTTCACTGGAACCCTGGGCACAACACAACATAGAAATGCCATTATCGCAGCTGACCTAGTGGATGGGCCGACTTGACTTGTGTGGTTGTATGAAGAGCTTCCCAGGTCGAGCATCGCATCTGTGTGGCAATCAGCCAAGCAGACTTGACAGTTTAGGAAGGGAAGGAAGCAAAACATTGTCTTCATGCGACTGGGAAATAAGCAGCATAACCAGATGTCATAGGATTACTTACGCACGACTGGCCGACGAAGTGCAACTCTAGTTGAGAGTAAAGCGAAACGAAATAGTTGAACGAAATTTTGGACATTCGCGAAACCGTGCGCATACGGCCACATGTGCCAACTAACTCAATGTCCGCAGGACGACAAAGCCTTAGAAAAGCACCACATTCTTTCTTAGGGAACTGGACATGGGCGGAAAGTAGCAGATAAGTTTGAAGGATAGAATGTTACATTTAGTGTCAAATAAGTCAGTATCATTTGGATATTGGTGATCACATGAGTTATATAAGTTGATCCATCTCAATTCGCGGGTTTGACAAGAGCTGAGTGATTAACATGTACTGGCCCACTAAGTAAACTTGCATCGCCCATGGTCGTACTGTTTGTCCCCTTCGATTGATAGACTGTTTCAAACAAACTTTCCCTCCACAACTTTCATAATGGCATGTCGGAACAACATTTCTGCACGATGATCTGAATTCAACTACTACGCATATTCTCGTCAGCCGTTTACTTACAATTAGGGAAATAGTTGTTTTGCATACAGAGATATCCAATATGTAACGGCATTGGTACATCGAAAACGGTCAAAGTTCATTTCACACTGGCCGGCATTCCGTTTAGAGGAATGTGGCCACCAGCCTCAACAAGGCAAAGCGCGACTGCGACCAATTTAGTCTGTTTACACAAAGTGAGTTTCAGCCGCTTTGGCAATCAGGAGCGTCAGCGAACTGAAGAAGCCGGGCGGCGCTGTGTATTAAGATACTGTTACAAGCTTACTCGGGGAGACATGTGAATTGATAAGGAAGTGCCAGTTGGATCAGGAGACATTTTCACACGTGCACCGCCAGATGCGGCATTACAGGGGGTCCCAAATGAAGGTGCAGTAGGAGAACCACACTCATGACTCAGTAAAATTCTAAATTCGACAAAATTCACTGCGCATAACTGCTCTTCCGTGAGATAAACGCAGGTGTTTGCTACAGGTCAACGTGCGGAACCAAAAAATTGAGCTCCGTGCGCTTCAGATTAATAAAACACATGCATTCTATTGAGCAGGAAGAGCCTTTCCATAAGAGTCAGAGCTTTCGCCAGCAAAAGAAATGCACCTGGAATTAGGGACAACGAAATCCCATTGGAACAAAGCGACGAGGTTGATACCTACAAGGATCAATAACAGCCGCTTATTGATGGACAACGGTAACCTATCAAGCGCAGCTCTCGTCGATCAATGGCCTAATAGGTATGAAGTAGGCCGTGAAACATGACTTAACAAATCCCACTGCTAGTGAATTGTTCGTCCCTCGCCTGAATGGACGCTTGATTCCCAATCAAAACCCGAAGTCGCTGACTCCTCACAGGACAGGGAGAAGACAGGATCGGACAAGCAGAGCACCAGGGATCTAGTAGCGAATCACACCATTCATTATAAAGGTGAAATAGAAAGTTCGTGAATGGTATTTAAGACGCACGCGGAAAGCACTGGAAAGGTCTACTATCAGAAAATCAAGGAACGACGTCCTCGCGTTAATTGGCCACTTCTCCCGGTTGGCTCTCTGTTCGCCCCAATGAGGGCGAATGAGTTTGGATCTCCTACCGCGGCGATGGTGTCCTTGCTTCTTTGCCTCGAGTATTCCTTCCTAACACCTGGCTCAGCTTATCTCTTACCACAGATTCTAATAAGGTACAAAATTGGTCTTGGAGTGCAGTGGTGGGAGGGAGCAACACAGAAACCCTCAAGTTGAGATGTTGTCAAAGTTATTGAAATGACATAGGTTAACTTCATAAGCAATCCTAGCTCGATTTAGAATACCTGTTACAGCTTAAACACACAGTGGTTACCCCGAAGCCCAACAATGGCATGCGTCATACTATGTTTCCCACACTTACTTCAATGTTATTAAACAAGTGTTATGTCTGCACGTATGTGCCACCTGTTCGGCCGACGGACGTAACTGGCTTATCAACAGAGGGCGATATTAGCAACGCGGGGACTGCAATGATGTGAGAATCATGCAGGTACAAATGTGAGTTAATTTCCGAGCCGCCTGAATGAATCCCACTCGTGCACCCACTCATACATCAACACAAGCACATTCAAATTCCTCCGGCAAAGTAGTGAATAGCGTCAACTATTAAGGCGCAATTTATGTCACGTTCAATAACTATGTCACGCATGCGAACGTCCTGTGGCGAATGATAAGGCCATGAGGTCAGTGATGGCCTAGGTAAGGAAACCGGGGAGTGAAACGATGAAGAATGTTGGCGGAGAGCATCGATTTAGTGTTCCAGCGGACGGTGGACAGTGCAGCATGGTAATTAATAAATAAATAGTTTAACTGCTTATTCCTTGATGGCGCAAGGCACAGTCCAACTGAGTGGTCTGATCAGTCTGAACTATGAGATAGGATAAAAAAAGTAATAGTGCCCGATTTGTACACCGCATCCCAAATGGATTTTTGAAGTGATTAACAATGTGAAGATATGGGAGAAATTAAGAATCCTAAGACGATAGCATGAGGATATGGTCAGAAGGTCTAGTAAGGTAATACGGTCATCCATGTAATTGTCCCCAGCGGACCTGATTCTATGCGGGGTATTCCCTAGATGGGTTTCTCCCGCACTTCCGTGCTCCAATCAGCTGTGTGCTGGTTTGGCAAAATGCATCACCTGTTTCATAAATGTCTTTTATTAGGACTGTTTTATGCATGCATTATGGACGATGAAGCCTCAGCTCTTTCCGACATGCGGATACCCAGGCCATGGTGTGGAAATGAGAATTTTAGTCACAGGATAGAGGTTAAATTAAGATACCGGACGCAGTTTGTAAGAGACAGTACTTATAATCCGATGCTCTTCAACGCGGACACTCAATAAGAATTGTATGCGTTATAGCAGCGTTGTCACAAAGCGATACAGGCCCTTTCAATCTCTTCCTGATTGAGTGAATTTGCTTACAGACGCACGAGTTGAAAGAAGCATATTTAACACACTGCAGTTCAACGGCTATTCAGTTTGGTGTGTGATACGTCCACAATGTTACTGAGGAGGTCGTATCTAACACCGTGGTCCCAGTACCAATGTGTTCCTATAAAGAATGGGGTTCTAAGAATGATAGTGTTAATTCAGAGAGTTCGTGAAGCATTTCGGAAGAGCGCATTGGATATGAATACCAACTGAAATGATGCTTATTTAACTTTGGAGGACTTTGTGTATCCTAATGTTTCCTGCCAGAACACCGTCATTCGTAGTGTATTTCATTTACAGTGTTGAACTTCTCACTTTTGGTGAGGCTCACTCAGGTAAAAACAGCAAAATAAATGGTCTCTAGAATCCTTTTCACTGCCTTCGTGTGGTTTGATCCTCCGTTTCCTACCTCGATCTGCCAATTGAGAACGATCAGAATTGGGTGTGTGGTCTCCATGGAAATGGTAGACATCCATAAAGAGTAAACACTAATCCTAACTTTCCACCATTTATTTGGCGGGGCGGCTTACACTGAGAGATCCACAAGCCTTGTAGCTAGTGCAGGTCTACAATAGAGACTCCCTCGCAGATCATACCTAACCACCGCAACCTACGTGGATATGTTTTCATGTTACCTGTGTCTAAAAATGTACGGAATGAGCGAACCTTCGGAGATAGTTATCAATGCGGCAGCGGTCTCTTAGTTATACTGCTAAACTAAGATATATGTAAACACAAGCTGGTGGTGAACCGCGGACTATGAACAAAAAGGTATGATGGGTTAGGAAGTAGGTACTTGAAAAGTTCCGTTCAATAATATGTTTGAAGATTTCAAACATGTTCCGTTTAGTAAGCCAAATAGCAGAAAAAAAGCAGAATTCCAACCAATCTTTTGGCCTAGTTACGGTGTCAGAATATGATTCACGTCGATTAAATTAATCCCTGTCATTTTGCTGGCATCTCCCATGCGAACGCAAACGAGCAAAGCAGAACATCGAAAAGTTCTACATATGCACGGCAGCTAGAACCGCTTTGTCCACGGTGCCTCCAAGATTAATGAGCATGATAAATGCGGAGCAGAGGCTTACGACCAGGAGCAGTGGCGCTATATGTGTGAGCCCCAGCTATTGGCCGACATTGTATCTGATCCTCTCTTAAGGCTGCAAAAACTGCAAACTACGAAAGATGCGGTCCAAGGATAAGGTAAGTTGCACTTCAAAGTAGGCAGATGGAACTTCGGCTGCAGGAACACTGGTAGTTAGTTCAAAACAGACCTCCAACTGAGTTCCGATTCAAAGCGTTAAGCGGTATTGTCGCTCGATTTAAATCTCTATCTCAGCTGGCAATGGAGATTAGGACCCGATTCCAACCACACTCTCGGAGCACTTCAGTAAAGCAGCGAACTTCCTTTGGAATCCTGTAACCACACCTTATACACTTTTCAAATCGAGTTGTCCGATGGGCTTAGTATGACGCTATCGAACCCAACTCCAAGCGACTCACAGATAATATGGCCAGAAACCGTACAAGCGTCGCCGCAGTTTCTTAGCTGAATCACGTTTTTTCGATTCGCTAGTGAGAATCAGAGCCGATGGACTTTTCAGAAAAATTGCTGAGCTTCGGTTGCGTCAGGCTATTAACGTTTGCGACCGTCATCATTCATCATTATACACGTCAACTAGAGGTGGGATACACCTCTGCTACTGTGCCGCAATATATAAAGGAAATGGAAAATAAATACAACGGTTGCGTGCCAGCTGAGCTACCAGCAACGGATAGGCACCGTTCCGGTAAGCTACCAGCCGGCTACTAGGCAAAAAGAGAAATAATTGTGTTTTACGCCACGAAAGGAG